CGCTCCAGGCCTCTTTTCTACTCTGGAAAGGCGAAGCTCCTCTCAGTCTATCGCTGTCTGATAAACTTTTGCAGCTGTAACGCTGTAAGCTTGGGAAGGTCTAGCCATGCCTTTAGACTACCTTTTATCTTGCGGGGGTCGGGAGTCTTACATCAACCCAAATCAGGTCTTTGGAAATGTTACCATATTAGACACTGGCTGGAGGCCGAGTCCAGCCGCTTTAATTGTCGGAGTGTAGCTTGCTGGAAACCGGGTCCAGTGACCCATTCTTCTGTTGATCCCTGTCCTTTCCTCTGATCTTAATAACATTTGAGTAAAGCCCTGTTTAAACCTGGTTCCCCTCCCCATCAGACTCTTCTTGACCGCCAGGTTAGATGTGTTCATCGGGACTGTCATATGGTCCGTGGTTGTGTTGATCATCAGATTGTGGTCTGGGTGTATGTGGAGGGTTCCCCGGGACTGGTTGCTGTGGATTGGCTGAGTGAACCAGTCTTTCAAGACTAATCTGTTTCCTTCTATCGTGCCTAACTTTCCCCCTCCTATTTTTCCTACCCTAAATCTTTTAATATTCTCGAGCTTTTTGTCTGGGGCGTTTTGTATTAGAATCTGAGTTTTTTTCCAGAGGGCGTGGAGTTCACTTTCTATTAATAGTTTTATAGTAATGAGAGGGTTTTCATGATTAGTGGGGTGATCATCGAAGGTCAGGCCACACCTCCTTTTCCAGATCGCCCACAGAGAGGCTTTTCCGATTAGTGAGAAGAAGAATAGGTCGAAACCTTCGCACTGCAGGGTTTGCTCTATGTCTAAGTAAAGAGTGCCCGGGTTAATTTGTACTGTTATGTTTGAATGGCATTCCCTCAATAGTAATCCTGATCAGGCAATTACTAGTACTTCACTGAAAGTAGCCTTCACCCAGAGCAGAGCATGGGGTATCACCAGTGGTCAGTCCCAGTTCATTCACCGCACCTCGGCACCAAGTCAATGTTGATTAACACCCGGGAAACCTTTGAATATCATGACAATCTCATACTCAGTCCGGACTACAATCAATGATTACAGCTCATCAAACTTGGACAAAGATTTTGTCCATGAACGTGGCCATAGTGCATAGGGAATAACACTAGCCATAAACCTCTGTTCATGTGCATTACCAGGCATTGCGGGTCACAGTCACTGTTCACGTACGACACTGGACGCTACTGGCGTTTCTTTTCATTTGATCACCACACAGAATGTCTCCCTAGGCAACATCAGTTTGACCCCATGCGTGGCACTTCCAGTGGTTTTCCTTACTCAGTTGACTTGCACAGTATCGCTAGTCATAGCGTTTGCTCGCTTATAATGTAGGTGCAGCGCTCTGCTCGTACTCAAGCTAAACATCCCCAGGGAGAGCTCTTGTTCTCTTACGGCGCACTGCGACATCCAAGAGGTTATGATTCTGTTACTGTAGATTAGAGCATCTCTAGGAACAATTTATCTTTCGTACTTGATCTGAAAGATACTCAAGAAAAGTCTTCAGTCCCTCACTGAGTCTGAAGCCAATTACTACTCTCCCCTTTGATCCTTGTGCTGTGTTCTGTTTATTGCATTCTTTCATTACGCGGAAGAGAATTTATGCAGACTCATTGTTTACTCGTAGGTCACTCACCAATGTCGCAAATCTCTCTCTCTCTCTCACTCTCTCTCTCTCTCTCTCTCTCTCTCTCTCTCTCTCTCTCTCTCTCTCTCTCTCTCTCTCTCTCT